TTGGACACCTTCGTCACCGACTCTAATGGAGTTACGAACTACACAAAACAAAACAACATCCATCAGGAAATGCATATCTCAAAGATATCAATATCCAAGAAGTGCGGTTGGACACCTTCGTCACCGACTCTAATGGAGTTACAAAATGCCTCACCCTAACATTCAAACACATGTCAAACATGTCGAACCAAACAAAATATTCATCCCAACAAGGCGGGGAGAATATATAAAAAACCTGTGCATTGTGATCGGCTCAACCCCACCGAACTACCGGGCACAATGCAACAGAAACCAAACAAAATATTCATCACAACAAGGCGGTGAGAATATATAAAAACCTGTGTATTGTGATCGGCTCAACTCCACCGAACTACCGGGCACAATACAACAGAAACCAAACAAAAATATTCACACAACAAAACGGTGTGAATATAAAAAAACCTGTGCATTGTGATCGGCTCAACCCCACCGAACTACCGGGCACAATGCAACAGAAACCAAACAAAAATATTCATCCCAACAAGGCGGGGAAAATATATAAAAAACCTGTGTATTGTGATCGGCACAACACCACCGAACTACCGGGCACAATACAACAGAAAGCAAACAAAAATATTCAACGCTTAAAAAAACGTGAATCCCACCAACAAACCAATCATCGCCTGAAAAAAAAAGTGTGAAACCGACAAGAGAACAAATCATTCAACACCTGAAAAAAGTGTGAATCCAACAAGAAACAAAACATTCAACACCTGAAAAAAAGTGTGAATCCAACAAACAACCTGTTCAACCCTTGAAAAGAGGGCGAACCTAACTCCAACAAAACACTCTACACTAGGTAGAAACGCAAATAAAATACAAACAAAATATTCTTTTGATGTGGTTCCTATTATGAATGAAGTTCCTAATTAATAAACCAAAAAGACCTAAGTAAACTTTTGAACTTTTAAACCCTAAAATTAATATATCGGTAAGAATACCTCACATTACATCAACATACAAACAGCTATAATCTAACATACATCAATCTACATACTTCCTCACACAAAAGCTGAATCCAACAAATATATCAAATCAAGATCTAAAGTTAATGACCGAATAGTGAAATTTTAATATTTAATAATATCTTTAATGTGATAGCGACCAGTGGTGTTCTTCGAAAGGTCCTGCAAAAGGTAAACGTTATCTGAAATTTTCTCTATAATTTTACATTTAATAAACTTAGGTGCAAGCTTTGCCGAAAAATAAGCTGGAGCATTAGACTGAACAAAACCTCTTATCCAAACAATATCACCAACATCAAAAGAAATAGAAATAGTAACAAATAATATTAACAATTTCAATATATAATAGCAACAAATAATATTAATAAATTTAATATAAAGCAATGCGCTTTTAACAAATATGACTCAACTCTAACAAAAAATATCACTAAGTGATCCAAAAGAAAGGGCACAAAAATCCCTTTAACAAACTCAAGTTGGTCTAAACTAACAAAGAATTACCAAAATGGTGCAGAGAAGCATCAACAAATTAACTCTCAACCAAACATAAGAAAATTAAGTGTAAAACCAATAACCAAATTTACACTTCCAATAAAAGCTAACTAAATGTGAGGTCAAAATTTAAAGCAAGAACAAACTAACAAAATCCAATCTTTAACAAAACATGAAATACAAGTCCCCACCGTCCTACTGTACCTCTCCACAGGGTTACTCTGAGGTGTGTACAATGTGTTATAAAAATATAGTAATGTTGTAACCTCTCATGAAATCTACAAAATGTTTAGAAGTGAATTGAGTACCATTATCGCAAACTATTAATTTAGGACAACCAAATCTAAGAAATATCTCTTTTTCAAGGATTCTACAATTGGATACGGTGGTAGCTTTTACTAATGGAAAACCCAGCAAAATTTTGTGAAAACAACTACAACTGAAAGAATATATTAATGTGAGGTGCTGTGCTTATAGGCTTTACATGTGTCACAAGATTTAATGTAATTTTGAACATCATTAAACATACCGTTCCAAACATAATGTTGTTTTAATTCCTTAGTGGTTTTATGAATCCCAAGATGACCAGAATTAATATCATCATGGTTAGACTTAATAGTATCAAGAATGTGTTCCTAGGAATAACAATTTTCCAATTTAATCTACTATCCAGATTTAATTTATTCTTACAAAATTTATAAAATGTGTGGTCATCAACCCTGACATTTTCATAACTAGAAGGGGCTCACTAGGCTTCTGTTTACGAATGCGCAGTTCATGCTCCTAACAGCTATCATAGTCCGGCCTATCAAGACGTCTAAGCAAGGCAGCCCTAAGCTCAACCCACGAAGAGATCTTCATACGAATAGTCCTAAACCACTTGGCAGCAGTACCAGCAAGCAGATCAGCGAATGAACCAATCAACACAGCCTCATGAAAGTTCCTGAATACAAAGTAATCCTCAACACGAGTGATAAATTCTCTAACACAGGCCTTACCGTCAAAGATTATCTACTCCTAGTTAAATCAGGCAGCTTCGTAGTATAGGCAGGCATATTTCTCCTAACGTGTTCATTCATGCTGTTGAACGAAGGCAGACTTGGTGCAAGAGCAGGAGTATCACGAACATATGACAAATCTAATGGGACGCTCATCTCCGCTGACTCATCCGCAGCTGTGTCAACATCCACATTGGCAGGCGACGTTGAAGGTGGAGCCTCCTTGTCCATAATACAAACCGACATCAACCACACAATTCCAAAACAGCCGTTCAAAGGTTAAGTTCTTTAAAGTTAATTAAGTTTAAATTTATTCAAAGTAAATTGTAGTGAAAACCTAAGTTTAAATTATTTAAAGGTTAACTGTTATGAAAGGATAAGTTTAAATTTATTTAAGAGTTAAATGTTGTGAACAACCAGGTTCAAATTTATTTAAAAGTTGAATATTGTAAAGAAAAGTCTAAATTAATTTAAAAGTGAAGTGAAAAAAGCTAAGTTTTAATTTAAATATCTAAGTTCTGTATTAAAAAGGATTTAGGGATTGCAGTAACCACTAACAATTGTTCTAGTAACTAAATAATAACAGCAAGGCTAAGCTAAGTTAAGTTAATCTTAATTTACAATAAGTTATATTATAATAATTCCAAAGTGGAGGTATCTATAAAATGTTTCTTGAGCAGACTTACAATTAACATTCAAAGCTATTAAATTGTAACACAAAATGTTTCAGTAACTATACCCTTAATTGAGAATACAATAGGCAGCAGTATAACTTAAATTATTGTTGCTTGTTAAAGCAGAAATAACATTGTAAAGTCACAATGTTGTAAACTATTATTGAAAAATTGTAAAAATAACCTCACTTACATGATAATACAATTAAAAAATACACAAGGTATGTAAGAAAAATATAGGATGCAGTAAAGACAGTATCTAATCAGTTATCTAATTAACCTACAGACACTACTTCAGTCCCTGAGCGCTGGCGACAATTGTAATAATAAAAAATTAAAAAATAAAATTTATGTGTGGGGTTTGTTTTAAAGAAAATAAAACTAAATTGGTGGCATCAAATAGAAACAAAATAACAAAATAAAAGTCTCGGGCGCCAGATACCACCTTAAAAGAACACAGAACCCACCACAAACACAACAAATACCTCGGACATCTCAGCCAACATTGAACCTTTTTAAAACAAGGCGGGAGGCAGCTAATGAATACAAGATGTTAAGTTCTAATGGCCGTTTATTATCCCGTAGTGTCTGTAGAGTACAATGTGTCTTATGTCTCTAATTACATTAGGTAATTCTTATACACAAATTAGTACTGTCATTAATGCAATCCTTTCCAATAAGAAAAATATAAGGTTAAATAAATTTTAAAGAGTCACACAAAGACTAAATAGACAAAACAGTAAACTCTAAGGGTAGACATAGCATTGACCTACTCTCTAATGAAAAATAACACCCCTTGGGGACCTGCAGTGCTCAATGCCACGTCGCCAAGAAAAATATAACAAAACTACATACCGATGACCTTGGATCAGTCCGAACGAAATGAAATCAAACCAACTCCGAAAACTTCTCACTCCGGATCCCACGTGGTGGAAGAGGCGGGTCGGCACTCCCAATCTCCAGAACATGGCGTACAGCTAAGCAGCTTTTCCTACCATTCTGGCGCTCCACAGCAAACCAATTTCCTGGGGTCAGGACGGCGAGAGACAAAAACCGAATGCCACGCAAGGACATTCCAATAAGAAAGTAAAGCAATTTAGGTATTGTAAAAACTTTAGATATAAACTAAAAACCCTGATTCATCTGCAAATAAGGAAAAATTATAGGTTAAAAGCCTATCTCATAAGAGGAATCATAACCCTGACAAGAAATCATATTTCACTTACCAGGGTCCCAAAATGTTTCACAAATCAAGCAGCGGCATTATAAGCATTATAAGCATTGCCTGTAACCAATTAAACAAAGATTTAAAACCACAAATTCCGCCAAGCCAAGCGTGAAGCACGTGGCCGAACAAAACTTACCTTTTCAACAAAAATAATCACTCGAACCAATAGCTCGAGTCCCAACTAGGTTGGCCAAACATTTAAAGAGGAAATAGGCCCTCGTCCATAACAAATAATTACGGATTACTAAAAAATTAAATGACAAAACTTGCTTTGCTTCATTTCACTCGGCGGCCGGTCCAAAAGTGAAGCCAACGTGATACCAGAGCAAAAGCTTGTCGCTCCATAGAGCGGGGAAACAAAAATGTTGCCAGGACAAGAAAAACTAAATCGACTAACTAATCGCGGGCGAGCAACATCGATTATTACTCTCGTCCGCCCCTCGACCATCGGCACACGCAGAAACGACAAAAAATTCAACCTAACAAAACAAAAACGAGACTAAGGTTCAAATTACTGTAATGGTGCGAAATGCACCGTTACAATCCATAGGAATCGTATGATTGTTATGTTATTTACATTCAACATGTACATTTTTTTTTGCAGTTACATTCCGACTCGATTATGGGGCTTCAGCGGTCACGTCCAGACAATCCTTCACAGCCTTATCGGACGCGTTCGTTGTCCTTGGCCTATTGGTGGAAGAGTATCCCTTGTGTTGCCAGATAAATCAATACTCACATATGATCTCTATGAGGGAGTAGGCAACGAGCATGAAGGTAGGTTTATAATTGTAATAATAAACCCATAAAAATATACCTTAGTACAAACATATAGGTTTCAAATACGCTCACTGCGTACGAGTGATTTCAACGTGTCCGTTCTTAAGTATACTGCCGATCTTTTCAGTAAACGTTTTTCCAGGGTCTACCGTAGCCGCACCAACCCGATTACTCACAGAAGAGATATTACTTTAAACATTCGCTCTCCACTTATCTTCTATACATGTCCAAAACCATTGCAGCACTTTCACAATTCTAGTCTACACGTCTTCCTTCTGCCCACACTGTTTCGTTATTGGTATTGATTGTGGGCTCCGGTTTCCGCATTTAGCTCTGCTTAGTTCTGCCACCAGACAATAGCACCGTAAGTGATTATTGGTCTTATGACTGTTTTGTAGAGCCATAGTGAAATCTTAGTGATAGTCTCCATCTTTTGCCGAGTAGCCGTTTGCATTGGCAGAAGACAATGCAAGCTTTGTTTAGTTTTTTATAGAGGTGCTTATTCCACAGGAGCTTACTGTCCAATATTACTCCTAGGTATTTGACCTTTTTGGTAAGAGCCAGTTGCGTTCCAAATAGTTCGGGAAGTCTGAGATTTCCTAGACTACGTTCGCAACACAGGTTTTATTCCTAATTCCTAGTTTCTTTTTAAAAAAAGTAAAAAAAAATATATTTTACACACCACTGTTCAACGATCTTCAGTGCGAGTAACGCTCTAAAATGGACCACTGATGAGGGTAGTCAGATCGTCTGCATAGCCTGTTGTGAGGAATCTACGGTCCTTTAGTTGTGTGATGAGTTCATCCACAACAGTTTTCCATAGTAGGGAGAGTACACCGCCTAGCCACCACCTCTCTAGTCACTTCGCTCACAGTAATTTGAATAGCTCTATACCTCAGAATGCTGTTGATCCACCCTGAGAATGTGGCATCAACACCACGTCTAGACAGAGCTTGGCTAATGCTGGTAAAGTTTGTTTTATTAAAGGCAAACTCGATATCGATAAAAGTGTTGACCAGTGTTGACCTTTTGTTTTTTAGATTACCTTCTATTTGTGATATCGAGTATGCGTGTTGGTTGTGGTGTAAGGAACTCTCGAGAACCTTTAATAGGAAGGACGTGAGACTGATAGGTCGGTGTGATTTGGGTTGTGTGTTGTGTGTCTTTGTCAGGTTTGGGGATGAAGACTACTTTAACTTCTCTCTCTCTCTCCATTTCAAGGGAATGTAATGATGCGCCAAGCAGTCTCTGTAAATTTTGACAAGGTGATCTAGTAGTGTCACGTAACACCTCAGCAGGCCATGGAAAATACCATCCAGTCCTGGCGCCTGGAATGGGAGGAAGCTATTAATTGCCCATCTAAGTTTATCGCGGTTCACAACTATGCGGGCCGTGTCCCAGTCTGTATCGCCTGGTGTATTTTTCCACCTATCTTCCCATGTCTCCATCACATCTGTTATGCGATATCCAGGGCAGTGTGTTTTCCGCAGTAAGATGCTCATGCTCCAGTCCATCTTAGTGTTATCCTATTTCAATATTGAATTTGATCCAGCGATGGTCCGAGCACGATGCTTCGCTCGATTCGAGATATGTTGCGATGCGTGTTCACTCGCTAATGTGAGATCAAAGATAGTTTGGGCTCTGGATGTGACAAATGTCCACTCCGAGCCTATGTTGAAAATGTTAAGCTTGATTGATAATAGGAATGATACAAATTCCTGTGGAGCTGGTTCCTCGACGGGCTTTGGCGGATTACCTCCACTGCCGTCCTTGGGGTTGTGTAGAGCCATTTCTGGCACTTTGTCCGGGTTTATTGGTGCGGCGGGACGTTCATCAAAGAAGCGAACGTAGAGGCAGTCATTTTTTTTTCCGGACATCTTACACACAACGCCATCTAGTTTCAAACTAAGCAGAGCTTGTACTATGATAACTAGATTAACTGATAGAATACTTATATACTTTTTTTTTGTAAATACATGCATATTATACCTAGAAAACACACAAACTCCAAAACATAAAGGGGGATGCCAGGCCACCATAGTGCTTTAGGCCCTGAATGCCCATATGTGAAAATGGGTGCAAATATTTCTTTGACAGATAAATAATTTACTCACAAAAGAAAAGTTAACACAAAACTTGGGGTTTCATAAATGTCAAGGTTTTTATTTTTTTAAATGTGCGCTTACACAAGTGCAATAAAGTTCTTGGAAACAATTCCTGTATAAATATATCTAGTTAATATTGTATTTATAATCCATCCATCCATGTCAGTCCATAAATCTCCAACTACTGCATGGGCCTCCTCCAGTGGTGGAAGAAGAATTTAGCCTACTATGGTATAGTATAGTATGGCCAAACGGGTTGGTATACATTTCCTGCTCTTTTATGATCTTAGATGGTTAAAAATGAAACTCAATTTAAATAGTTAAACCTTCATTCATCATACACTACTAAAACATCATCCAAAAATTGAGCAGGAGGAAAAATATTACCTTGATGCCGTGCCCACCCCAAATACCATAGCACTGTCATGACATGGGCACAGCATCCTACTGTACGACGGCCAACAAAGCAATTGCAGCAGTATTGTTTGATAGCCTCGCGACCAGTTTCCATATTGGTAATTAGTATATATATGAAGTATATTTTGCGACTGATGTGTCGACTTGCAATTCTTGCTCTAATTAGGTAACAATTGGAGCCAAAAATTAGTTCTTCCATTATTCTATTCCTAGAGTCTCTAGAGACTTCTATTTGGTATGACCCGTTGGTCCTTATATGCTCTCCGTAATAAGAACGAGCTTGTTTCAACTGATATATCCCACAGGCAATCAGTATTAGCTCATTATTAGTTAGTCTTGGAAAGTCCCTTATATTTTCCCTGTCAACATTAATATTTTGGAAATCTGATCTAGCTCTATTGAGATTATGATCCCTAACATAATCTGAAAGGTCATTGTTTCTGTTCATATTCCTGTTCACAATTTCAATTATTTCAGTGGCATCGTCTCTGTCTCGTAATCTGGTGTGATATTTATTTATAAGAGCAGCAGCCACAGAGAAATCTATCATTAGATGCTTGGAAGCTCTGTTGAAAAAGGTTTGCCTAAATATTTTAAACTTAGTTTTAAATATTCCATTCACCACTTCCACCACCCATCGACATAAAGTAACAGCTCTTGATTTATTTGCTTCTCTAGTTGTCAATTGTGGTTCACCATCTGTTGGGGATAATGGTATATGGACATTATAGCCACAACTCCTTAGGAGCGGTAATGAGTCTCTAAAACCTCTGTCGAGAATAAATACATCCCCAGGTTCAAAATATTGACGGCAAGAACTACTTTCACTTCCAAACTCTTGTTTCATAATGTCTGCATCTGTGGTTGTAGCAGGATAGGGGCCCAGTACGTCAATGATATAACCATCACTGCATACAAATAAAAATGGCTTAACCAGATTACGGTATTTATGCAATGAATATGTTTGTTTTTGATACAAGTAATTAGAACTTTTTTCTATATATATGTATGTACCATCAGCTATTATAATTGGTGTTCTCTCTGGGCCCCCATACAAAGCATTGGGAATCAGCAGATTCCTTTGAGCAATTTCTGCTCTAGTTATGTGATTCAAGCCCAGATTTCTGGGAACAAAATCTTGATACAATAATTCTCTAGCCATCTTCATTAGACCTTCTAGTGTACTCCTTGGTATTTGCAATAATGATGAAATTCGTTCATTACTATCTCCTGTCCGCAATTTCAATAAATATGCTGCCAGAGCATAAGCTCCCCTATGGCTATTTAATAACCTCGGGACTTCCGAAAGGATTTGCTGGAATTGTTCTTTTGAAAAGCCCAAGTAATAGTGAACAATATGATCTGGCATACTTAAGATATTGTCAAAATCTAAATGCATTAACATGTTATCTTTTAACAAAGAAATAAGTTCTTCCATTTGTTCAGCACTGAATGTCCTGATAGGATCATAAATTGAATCCAGAAGTAAATCCCATGAATTGCTTCTCAAGTGCATTGAACATATTCTGCAATCTGCAGGCACATAATAATTGTAGTCACAAAGTAAACTTACTCTCAGTGAGAATGGTACTAAAAGCCGGTCAGACGCATTACATCCAGGAAAAAAACAATGTCGCTGTGTGCTAGGAGCTCTGATATAGTTAGGCAACTGCAAGCCATGAGATGGAGTTGTATTTCTTCCTTCAGCTTGTACTTGAGAAGATTCAATGTTAAGTGATGGGAGACTTGACACTGCTGATTCCCCATCTGAAGTAAAGCGAGCAGCTGCTCTTTCAGTCCTTCGCCAACAGTTATGACAAAGATGGGCTGATCTTGGCAACTGTCAAAGAAAAAAGGCAACTGATATGTTTTTTTCCCTTAAAATGGCAAAACAACAATCCTCAGACCATGATTCGACAAAGAATTCTATCCCATGTAGGTACTTTTATTTGAATGAGAGAGTGTGGTAGAAATGAATCAATATGCAAGGAGGCATACAGGCAACAGATAGTGAGGTGAGTTACCGGCCAGACCGATGACCATGACCACTCTGCTGAGTGTTAACGAGTGAGAAGATTTTAATTTATAATTTATGTATGTTTAAAATAATATTTAAGTATGTTTATCAGCAGTCTGGTTACCACCATAGAGGCTCTGCATAGTTTGGAACCAGCCAGCCATATGTGAGATGTTATTATTCTATATTCTTAGAACATTACAATATAGTTATAGTTCAACTACCTGGATAGACACTTTATCTCACACATAGTCTAAGACACATTACAGCTATTTATTTAAAGTCTGATTGTAACCACTCTTAATACTCTCTTTACAAAGTATATTCCTAACAATAATATTGTATGTATATTATCTTACCTCTCGTGGTGCAATTTGATGGGTAATAATATTCCTTATTTGTTCACAATGTGGTGTATCAATGTTAAGGCTATGTGACCTTTGCCTTAAAAGCGAAGT